AGCTTCAAAACAAGACCCGTTTAGGGAGTGTATCTAGGATTGATTATATATATGTATATGTAGGCTATTAAACCTGAAGCCTTACATATCTTTTTCCTGTTTGAGTTGCAGTGGTCTTTCATGCATGTGTCCACCCATGCGACCATGGGCCGAGACTCCTCTGTCTCTCCCCCTTACACTACACCTGAAAGGCTGCCCAAAAAAGGTACGGAAAATATCAAGACTTCTAGAATGTATAAGCATGCCATGAGTACTAGAAATCTTGCATGACCCTAAGCCTAGGGATAGCGTGCTCCAGTATACTAGAGCTATGCCGGAAATGTAATCTCAACGCTAGCAGCTCAAAACGAAGAACCTCGTAAGCCCTTGGCAAGACCTTTGGAAGGATTGTTCTTGCAAGGGGGAAGGACAGAACCTAAAACTCCAAAACACGATGCAAGTCGCCTACCTGACGCTATTGCTCACGTGGGTGCACTCCTTGGCATCATACTTACCTACCCCGAGTACTGAACACATCCAATCCGCCATTATATGCCCTGGATTATATCGAGCTCTTAGGTGGAACGGCTAATAGCTTGGTTTGGTGTGGATGAGGGTTGAGCGTTTCGGGCTCAGTGGTGGGGGATTGTCATCCTGTTGCATAAAATCAATTGATGCCGGCAACAAGCTCCCTATCCCCAAGCAATCTGAGCAAAAATTCTGTGCACAAGAACGCCACTCGACTTGATACGTTTTCCTTCCTGGGTACGTGGGAATACGTAAGGACGAGCTCTGCGAAGTTGGTTCCAACACCAGACTTGCCACTTCGCACAAGTCCAGCGAGCCGCGACCTGATATTACCAAGTTGATACTAGCCATTGGGGCCAGAGACCGCAAAGGGATCCCAATACTTGCACGTGGTGATGCGCTTTTTGGCTGTCTAAATTGTCAACTTCTCAGATAAATCTGCAAACATCTTGAGAGTGTAGCCCGGAGCTCCAAAAAGAGGGCTTGGTAGCCCAAATGGTGAGACCTTGTGCAGGACGAACTCCTGAGGAGAAAAACCACATCCCACATGAGTTTTCTATGGCACGAGCTTACTCTAACAGATGGTAGCCTTGTGATGTGGACTCTAGGACCGTGCGGTTGAAGACCTTGGTGGCCCTCACCCCTGAGTAAGAAAGATTTCTGGCAATCAGGGTACCCTAGACGCGCGAGATCGACGTGAGTTTTTAAAAATCAAGAGGCCATGGCTTTAAAGACCGAAATAATTACCAGCATCATTTTGAGGTATCCTTCCGGTATCCTATAGAGAATACTTGTACAAGGAATATGGAACCATACTGCTGGTAATCATTCAAACTCCTACAGTATGTATAGTTCCTTCCTTGGAGAATCAGATACGCAAAGGAGCCATTCCAGGGTCAAGCAGGTTGTATCCGTTGTTTCATGGGTTCCCTGTTATCCAACTACCCACCCTATACTACCACCCTTATTTCAGAGCATCTAGGGATAACTCTTGCAAGTTGGTGGGTAATTAAACGGGAGCCTCGGGTGGGGGAGCTAGTATAGAGGAGTATGGAAGCCCATGTGGCTGGAAATTATCGATCGTGCGTTGTCGCATACCATGTAGTTTGCACAAACAGGGTCCCAAAAAGGTACTCTTTTTTTCTTGGGAACCTTCATAGCCACCCATACCAGCGGAGTCAATGTATATTCTGCCGACATGGTAGTTTGCTGAGCTAACAGCTCCGAAAATGGGGGAAGCTTCCAGATGTGGCCCTCATATACGCCTTGGGGGATAGCCCCACATGTTTAAAGGAGCGACAAACACTTTTTGTATTTACTAAATACTCGGGCCCATTACAATACCTTTGCAGATTGGGCGTATAAGTGATCCTACACTGCAGGGACCCCAAAATAGGGACCCTTAATTTTCGGAAACCCGCAGATTGGGTGAATTTTTGTTTGACATCCAAGAAGGGAACCTCACTTTGGAAACCTTGAATGTTAAACCCTAGGTTGCAATCCCGTTTAATTCCTTCAAAAATAGAATCTTGAACGTTGGGAAACCGCCACATCAGCGCAACAAGATATGCTAAGGGATGCGGATTTGCAAAATTGCAGGCTCTTGTCCAGCTTCAGCCTTATTCTCAGATCTTGGCCTGCTCAAGCTCAGGGTTTTTGGAGCCCTGTGCACTGCGCTGGCCAATGGTCTGGGAATGGAAATGCCAACCCGAAGCAAGATTGCAAAAAGTCTTCGATGACATGACCATCTGGTGAAGCCTGACGTCCTGATACTGCAGATCAATAAGGGTTTCGGGGGTTTCGGGGTATAGGGTTTAATGATTAATGAGCCCACTGTAGCATGATGCTGGTTCAGAAGTAATTTCCAGGGGAAGTAGGAAAACTATTCCGAAATTTGTGGCAATTTCCTTCAGTAGGTGGACCCCAACATACACTCTAAAAATGCCTGCATGTGCTTTATAAGGATTCCCCCAAAAAAGGGTCCCGTGATTTGTGCAAAGCCCCCTTTTGCCCCAGGGTATCAAGTCCCGTTGCCGTGTCGGCCTTAGCTGAGACTTGCCAAAAAATTGTATATGGTTTCAGGATCTACGGCTTGGGGTTTGGTGGTGCAAACTGCAAACAGAGCCAAATGCAAATCTGCTAGACTGAGTTTTATTTGGAAGCATGTAGCTACTCCAATGTCCTCATGCATGCAGAGCAAGAGAGCTTCTAAAAAACCTGACGCCTTAAAACCCTGCGTTTACTCTCTTACACAATGCCATCCAGGAGCTCAGAAGTGCGTGAAACCCTAAGCACTCAAGTCTTACCTCTGGTTAGCCGCAAGGGGTGACGTTATAGACCCTCATAGTTTAGGGGTCTGGGGTTTAGGGGTTCCTGTATAACCATCATATTTACAATCATTTCCATTTTCTCTTCCATGCTGCATTCCCTGCTCAACACAGGTGCGTAAGTAGTTAGAAGCCCTGTGCTGTAAGTTGGGTAAAGGCTAGGGCCCTGCATGCGGAAGTTGCCCTAGATTGTTGCTCTCCCCAAACGGGGGAAACCTATATCGACCTACGTATATGACATGGGAAACACTATTGCTATCTGAATTCCAAAAGCAACACAAACGCAGAACCTGCATTTCAAGCTGTGAAGGGCAAGTGGTATCCTAAATTTGAGGCCACTACCCATGACTATGATGTCACACACAATGCAAAAGCACAGTGCCCTGAGCGGCAAGCAGCCTCCACCAGAGATCCGTAAGTTTTACATGCTGCAGCGTTGAAATAAGAAACTCCCCCAACTCCTAATGTTAAACATGTCCCCAATATGTGAGCTCTCTTATGGAAATATCAAATGTTAGGAGTGGGGGTTCTGAACAAGATGGATCTCCCAAATTGGTGTCCATACGCAAACAATGGCATGTTCTGCTCAATATCAACTGCTCAATAGCAAGCAATGTACAAGCTTTTCTGACCTAGATTTATAGAATAGGTTTTGAGATGCTCTGCCCCAGTGCAGGCATAGTTTAGGCTTCTACAGCACGCTGGGTTCAAGCCTTTCGACCAGACAAAGAATCAGGCGCTGTATGAGGAGGAAAATGAAGCAATCATCGACTACACATGGGACAAGCACGTAGGGCTAGCCCCTTATAATAGGATAGGTTAAGGATCCCTAAAAAGACTTGGAATGTTATGTCTTTAAAGGGACTATGCAAGGATTAAAGGTAATAAGAAATAGCTATCCTTTTCGAACCTACCGCTGCATATATGGAGGGTCAGGGGGACTTCGTAAGCAGGTTTATCATGGAGATAGCTGGAAGTGTTCTTCTAGCATAGCGAATGAGTATGCTTCCTAACCCCCCCAAAACCCTACACAATGCCAGGCTAGTTGGGAGCAAGCTGGCTGTAGACATGTGACCACTGTTACTTCGAGGCTGTGGACCTTTGGGGCTACCTGCACCTTCTAATCCTCAAATCTAAGTTCTCAAACCGCAAAACCTCACATAGTAGCTTTCATGCTCATGTATCCCCATATAACAACTATATAACCTAAAGCTAACTTCCAATTTCTTTGCCATTCCAAGCCGGTGCTGCCCAAGCAAAAGTCCATGCCTTCGAATTCCTCCGAGAAAGATCCACCCAGGAAGCCCAATACCCCTACATTGAAGAGTGTTTAGGGTTTAGGGTTTGGAATGCTTAAGCCCTAAACCCCTAAGCCATGTCCACCTAAGGTTCCTGTAGGATTGTTTGCATCCAATTTACTAGAATGTTGCTTAGAACGTTTAGCTCTCAGGGTTTAGGGTTTAAGCAGGGGGAAACAGGGCTTGTTCAAAGGGGATATAGGGTTCTAACGATTTCTGTGTGGATTATGGCCATGCAAGGGTTACTTATGGAACATTCCTTAAAGCTTATCAGGGTTCCAAATATCGTTGAAAGTCTATTGCGTGCTTAAAAAGTATTGGGCTTTCTGAGCACTCGGCAGTCATCCCAAAAAGCTCATCACTCCCCATGTTCCGAAGTGCTCGATGGTGAATGCTAACCTATTTTGGGCTATGGCTCGCGGTGCAGGGCTTAGGTTGGAGGGGGGATTCTGGGATGAGGGTCACAGGGATGAAGGGTTGTGGGAGAGGAGTTACGTAAACCCTAAATAAACCTTGTACCCTTATCTAGGAGTTAGGGTTTACCCTTGTTGCGTGCCAAGCCCTGGAAACGAAAGCGCGAAGCCAACTCACCAGTTTGAGATGCAAGTTGGGGAGGGGTTCAGGGTTTAGGGAATGTAGGCACGCTTAAGATTTCAGTGTCAAAACATCCCCACATAATTCCGAAGCGAAAAGCCATAATCCCTTGGAATCTCCGGGCTTGTTGGGGTACCCCATCTATTCTGACCATGTTAGAAAAAATCCACAATTCAGAAAGAATGTAAGTTTGCGATTCTTGTGTATAAACTGGCATCCGCGGTGGGGTCGGGTGAGGTCACTATAACTTGCCCAGACTTATCGGCCAAGCAGCCAGGCAATGAAGCAGCACGACATGCCGAAGGCATAGAAAGAATAGTCCAGTCGAATGATTTTGCCCGTGAACTCGAACAAATTTATTGAAAACATGCGAGACAAAGAGCACTGCAAGCCTAGAAGAACCGTGAATTCGATGGCGACCTGGGTGTCCGAAAGCCACACCGTTTAGGGCTTGGTGTTCAGGGCAGCAACAGGAAAAACCATTTTAGATGTGGATCCTAGCTGCGGCGATGATGTTGCCCACCATTCCATCATGGAATTGGGTACTGCTCTCCAGCCGGAAATGTAAAAAGTAGGTTCGATTTTCACCAAACGGAGAAGAATGAAGAAGTGCCGCCAGCATCATGTAAAGCAGCGGAACCGACAGCTCGCAGAGTTCAATCACGGCCAAGCAAACCCAGGAGTGTGTCAAGACCTCTTCGTGGGCAAGACTAGGTGGATCCTACGGGGAATTCTGTCTAGTTTAGGGCACCGTAATCTGCTTGTGGTCATGGAGGAATGAACCCCTTTAGCAACCCCAGTAACCCCAACAATATGGTAGCATCCCCTTTCCTTTCCATCCCTTCATTCCCTAGTAACAATCATCAAGCCCCAAAAGCTAGACCTAAATGCTTAAACAAAAACCTCTAAACCCTAAACCCCCTAACCCCAAAACCCCTAACCAGTAAACCACTAAGCCTATTCACGCCCTATGAAATTCAACCTGTGCCCCTGACCTTTAAGAGGCCGGCATCAGCAGGGCTGATGTCACTTGTGTACATCTCTGCTTGGGGTTTGCTCTCGATTTGCTGGATCATGCGGCGCACACGTGGGCCCACTTTCCTTCGGAATACTGTGGTTTAGGGCTTACTTGAACCCAAGAAGTAGGTAAAATAATGGCCCAAATCCCCTGAAAATAGTCAGAGAGGCCATTCTTCTACCTGCCTTGGGGGCACATGTAGGGCTTAGGGTTAAAACGGATTACTTCCGAGCTGTCTTGGGTTCAGGTGCAGATGCTAGGGTTCCAAAAAACAGTTGTCCTTCTTGGCTGCCCAATAGAATAAAGCACCCAAACGAGGACCAAAAGTTCAACAACCCCTCCATGTCAAAATGTGAAATGTTCTTCAACAACAACCCAGTTTCCTTGCCAACCGCATCTTCCGTACCAGAATTGGCCTGGAACGAATTTGTTCAGTTGTATCATGATACAGCTTTGTAAGGGCCCTAAAGAAATAATCTTGGCGACTATCCCTCGAAGCTCTTATGTAGAACCAGTTTCCGCGTGATGCACTCATATTCAATCCCTCAACTCTGTACAACCCTAAACCCTAAACCCTACACCATGAAGCCCGTGCATTTCACAAAAAAAAGGGGAAGTGTCAGACTTCAAAATTATTAGAATTTGCCTGGCACCGAAGCAGTTCCAGCCACCGCTGGATTTCGGCTCCTGCAAGTTCAGTTAATACAGTGATGTAGGGTATAAAAGGTTTTAAGGCTTAATGTTCGGGGTTATACTGATGATGGCCCAGGAACGTAACAGAGCATGGAAAACCAAATGGAAGTTACCATATCGGGTTTCGCCCATAGGGTTGGATTTTACCCAATGATGGAGATGAAGTGGAACCTGTTATTGTCTTGGCTTTGATGGTGTGATGTACAAGACCAATGCGATTTGAGGTCTACTTGAAGTACCCTATACTGTAATTGTACAGGGAACCTAGGACAATGATACTGGTAACGATTGAGGCTTCCATGGTAGGGCTCTGTTGAATTTGAAGAGCTTCTCGGGCAACTTGAAATTGCAACTAACTTTTTCTGGAATACTGGGGATGTATTATACCATGATTGCGGAAGGATTCTAAATGGGTTTGTCCCCGTGCTTGTAGACGCCTGTTTTCGTTTTAGACTCCTTGTAAGGACACCCCAGGACGGGACCTAGCCCTGAACCCTAAAGCTCAAAACAGAAACTACAAGGAGAGCTGCCTCTGAAGACCTACCGAGACGTCCCAAGTACAAGGTTGAGGGTCTAGGGTTATGATTGCAGGCCGTATACTAACCACATACCTGGTATTTGGGCTTCAGGGCCTGTATTCAGGGCAGTGCAAGTGTTGGTGCACATTGTGTCGAACTGAGCTACCCTTGGAAACGCTAAGGGGGCTTAGGGTTTGGCTAGGTTTTGGAATATGGAGTCTCATTCAGGATTGTGGTCACCATGAAAAATAAAAGAAATTCTACCGCTTTTTTGCTGCAGGGATGCAGGCAATTAATTGTCTTAGGGCAGAATGACTTTTCATATCTTGCTGGTCGTGATGCAGAAATACAAAAGCTTTGACTCTATTGACATGAGCAAGATACTATCATTTCCTTTTTTTCCTGCTACTGCTTGGACGGCTGCATCAAGCATTAAAATCGAAACTCCGGCTGGTTCCGAGCCTTCATGAACCCTTAGCCCCAAAAGCTTCACAACCTCCAGCTTGCACACTCCAGGATTTGGGGCCTATGTTTTAGCATGTAAGTTTCTAGGGTTTAGCGAAGGTTTAAGCTTGAGGCCTTCTCATTGACGACATCTGATTCGAGATCCAGGTCCTGGCTGGTGTCAAAAAATTGAGGAAACCAAATCGCTCACTCCTGTAACAATGCCTTCTCTATGCTATGACATAGGGCGCAAGTCCAAAAGTTACCTTTGTATAGCAAGGACTGAACGATCCCTCATGCTTCCTGTATCACCCCCAAAAATTTGGCAGTCTCCATTTTCTTGTCAAGCCTCTATTCCCTGCTTATAGAAAGTAACAAAAACCCCAGAGCTTTCTTCAATAAATGAGGCGCATCGGACAGCCCATAAAGGCCAATCTCAGCGTCAAATGCCTCAGGCGAACCACAGGAAATATAGAGATTTTTTTTGAGGTTTAACGGTTCAGGATTTACGGTTTGGGCTTTCGAGTTCTTCAAGGCTTTGAGTTTAGGGTTCGGGGTTTGGGGTTTGATTAGAAGGGTGAACTGCGTGTACTAAGTTCAGCCAGAACGCCCTTATGTTCTGGCTCTCCTGTGCACTTAAGAAATGTCCGCGTGTGAAAAGGAAACCAGCATTATCAACGCCACTGCTTTAAATGCAGACTCATGATGTCCTGGTCGTAGCCATGGAAAACTATCCAAGCAACAGCTACATGCTATCTCTATTACATGTGCGCACGCCATCCCATATTCTGCACCCAAGCAAAACTCCTTGACCGTGGCCAAATCCCTGTAACCCCACATCTGTAAACCAATCTTCCAATGAATTTTCCAATCTCTTTTCCATATTTTAAATTATTCAGGCCATAAACCCCAAACTCTGAACCCCGAAACCTCAACCGTGGCCATTGCGTGGCCTGCACAAGCTCCCACAGCATCTTTAGAACGACTGCCATGGCTTTGCCTGCAGAAGGCATAGCACGGCCATGCTGAGGTACTGAACAAAAGTCTATAATGAATCTACCTAAACTCTAAACCCTGGTACTCGGGGAGTAGCTCATGTTGAGGGACCCTCTTCGCGGTACATGGACATTATAAGGGAATTTTGGAGCTTCCTCTAAGGCATTAATCCCTTCATATTGGCACACCTGGCCACTGTGGGGAATATGTAATGTCAGGGGTCGGGGGATGTTTACTATTGGCATGAAAGAAATCTATAAGGAGCGGCTTCAAGAAATACTCCAATTCAAGCTTCTGTGCATTTTTCAGCTGATTCCTCAATATATCCCAAACCGCAAACCACTCTAGGCCTGCATCCATGAGTGCAATGACCAGGACCACTCCCAGACTTTTAGCAGTGGACATCAGACTCGCCGAGAAGAACAAACTCCTCAGGGTCTAGGGTTTGGGGTTTGGGGTCTGAGAGGCGCTTGGCTCCAGAATGGCAGTTTTAGAGTTGAGGGCGTGCATTTAAAGTGGTTTCGGGAGGTTTTCAATATGTAGGGGCCTTTTTGGGAAGCCCCTGGAACAAGGATGGTAATACATATGCATATATATATATATGAGGCCTCCAGCGGAGCCTCCCATTTTAAGGAAGCCCCTCAAAGAAAAAATATCTGACATCACTACCAGGAAGACCTTGGGGATGGATTTGGGTCTTGCAATGGGCTTAGGGTTCAGGGTTTGACGTGAGCAGCAAACAAAGGGGGAATCCAACAACAGGCCCCGGAATGTAAAGCGATGCTTAGCCTGCGATTGCTTCGCTGCTTCACTTCTACACTTCGATGTCCGGCATCGGGCTTCAGGGTTTGGGGTTTGAGGGCTTAGGGTTTTAGCGACAAAAAATTGAACAACCGGTGAGGAAGCTTAAATGTCTGATCAACCCCTGAATGATGAAACCGTGCTTGTGCGGTCGTACTTTTGCGGCTGAGTCACATTTAAGAATAATTAGGGCTAATTTAGGCTAATCACGAGGAAGGTACTGCGAGGGGGTAGTACGGGAACCCATAATAAATCGTAAGCCCTAAACAGTAGCTTCCATTCCGTTTCCCACTTTGTTTCCATTACTGGGGTAGCAAATGGGTCAAGAATGAGGGGGTGATCAAATCCTAAGCCCCCTTCTGCACTAAGCCAACCAATGCAAAAAGCTCCATCTTTCAGCCAAGGGTCAGAAAGAAGGGCGCAAGCCTCGTCTCAACCAATAAGTACCTTGCATTGCGCACCCGCCCAGTAAAAGTGGTACAGGGATGGGATACCACAAATATTGTATATGGGACCAGCAGAAATATTGGGATTTTCCGTAACTTTCTGCTCATTTCTAAACAGACGGGGCATATTTCCAAAATCAGAATCCGGTCTCGGATTCTGGCACTTCAAAAACCGAAATGACCTAAAATCGTACGATACCGAACCTGAGAACATACCACAAACACTGTTATTTACAGTGCTCTCAACTTGTTCACAAAACAAATCTTGCAACATAGAGCATGTAAATAGAGACCACAAAGATGTGGATCTTGGGGGACCAAATATCTATACCTACATGTGCTACAGTCCCCCATGGATCCACTGTTTCTATGCGTCTGAAACGTAAATGAGCTTCGACTTATCCAGAATTCTCAGATTCCGGTTCCTGATTTTCTTCATATCGTTTACAAAGTAAGCTTTGAAGTCCTAAGGAGTCCTCAGACCTTGGGCTAATGATTTTCTCCATGCATCTGCTTTACGAAATTGGCCGCTAATCTTGATGAATTCTCAGATTCTCCACTATTGTTTTTCTGTAAAGCCCCTTACTAAATACACTTCAATCTATTAAAATAATTCTCAAAGCTTGCGTTTGAGATTTTTGTCTAAATCACTTCTAAGACAAGCTTCGATTTATTAGGGGCATCCTCACATTGGAGGCTTCCGATTTTC